GTCCATGCCATTAACTTCTATGCTGTTGGAGCCCCCTTGCTTCCTACCATATAATGTACAACATCTGTTTTCTTGAGATTACTAACCGCAGTTGACAGCTTCTGTTGCTCTCCTTACACCTTTCGGCTGATGGTTTGAATTTGGATATTGTCTTGAATCTACTTAGTACCCTGGACTGTGGTAGCCCTAGAAAATAAAACATTGCATTACCAGGTTCTTTTTCTTCATTTCTTTTTTCTTTTGGTTTGGATTTTAAATCTGAATTTTAATAAACTCACTTGTATTAATACACTGATATCTGTTAGCTTCAGTATTTGAGTTAGTAGTCTCCAGACTTAAAACTTTTGTGCTCTATCATAAAAAAAAGTGAGCTGTTACCCCAGTACATATCTGTTTTATTTATGCTATATGTGTGCCACTGAAGAAAATAATACTTTATAAAATATGAACTTGTTAACATGAATTTTTAAAAAGCCAAGCTAAAAGTGAAATTATGAAGTGTTTTTTGGTCTTTAGCTAATATTTCAAATTGCAACATACCATTAGGCCAAGGTTGATCATTATAATAGTGTATACAAATTCATATTTTAAGTAATTTGGATAATTTTTTAAACAGCCAGTTTCTTGTCAGGGATTATTAGGTTAGGGTTTCTCAACTGGTGCTGTTGATGTTTTTGAAGTGGATAATTCTTGCTGGGGGATGGGGGGATCCTATGCATTGTAGGATGTTTAGCAGCTTCCCTGGCCTCTATCCACAAGATGACAATATTACCCCCCAGTAGAAACATCAGAAATGCTGTGAGGCATTACCAAATGCCTTGAGAGGCAAAATTACTTCTGGTTAAGAACCACTGTATTAGATCATTGTTTTTATCCTGTATTATGGATGACAAACAGCATGTGCTAGAGTAAGGAAAGTGTTAATTTTGATTTTTTTTTTTTCTCTAGCAGCAATAATGTTTTCTTCAGTATGAAGTTTGAGATCTGTTTGTAGGAATTCTTTTATTCACTTGTTCATTCTATAAGGTTTAGTTAAAACTCGGTAACATAATCCAATCCATACATTTACTTAAATCAGTATATGTGAGTCATAGTATGTCACAGTAAGACAAATGAAAGAGGAGAGTGCCACTGTCAAGTGTTCTGCTGTATGAAATGCCCAGTCTTCAGCAGACCTCTTGACTATATGTGTCACATCTCTGATACTAACCGTAAGTTAGGGTACCTATGTAAATATTAAATGCTGAGGCCAGGCACGGTGGCTCACACCTGTGATCCCAGCACTTTGGGAGGCCAAGATGGGGAGGATAACTTGTGCCTGGGAGTTTGAGACCAGCCTAAGCAACATAGCAAGACTCCCGTCTCTATGAAAAATTTAAAAAATTAGATGAGCGTGGTGACATGCACCTGTAGTCCCTGCTACTTGGGAGGCCAAGGTGGGAGAATTGCTTGAGCCCAAAAGTTTGAGCCTGCAGTGAGCTGTAATCACACCACTGCACTCCATCCTGGGCACAGAGTGAAACCCTGGATCCCAAAAAATAAATAAATATCAAATGCTGACTTTTTCTAATTTTCTAGATGAATACATTAACGAAATAATGTAGCCTTCCTATATCCCCAACAAAGAGTCTTCCTACAGGTCCTCAGGTGTATGTGCATACCTATTTGTAAGCCACTCATTTGGCCATCACATTGTAACTTATTGTTCAGTTTGTGTCATTGCAACCATAGTACTCAAAAAGGAAAAGTAATTTTAGCTCTCTGAACTGACCTCCACCTAACCAACTCATCAGGTTAACTGGTGTTCTCCACTGATGTGAATTATATTTAAAGGAAGATTGTTGGTCCTATATCAAAGATTAGAGAATGAATGTTCATTTTACAGTTTTAAGTATTTAAAATGTTCAAGGCCTGTGTTTATCGTTCCTCATGATTCCCTGACCTTTTCAGTTAATTAGCCACTGGACATAATTACATTGACTATAGGGGCTTCTTTTGCACCGTACCAGTGTTGGAATTGTTATGAGTTACTTGTGGAGTTGGAACTACAATTTCTCTCAGCAGCCTACTTATGTGGTTGTCTAAACTTGCAGCTGAATTATAATACAAAGTTTTCAAACTTTCTGTTTTGGAATGGTAATTTACTCTCAAAACTGTTGCTTCCTTCTTGCTACCTTACAGGTTTGTTGTGAGAGTATTCCTCAACAGTAGTTCAGACTCTCATTACTTCTTGTCTATAATTGTAGCATAGTTTTAATGGGATTCCCTGCCTCCAGTACTTCTCTGGCTTGTTGGTTAACATAAACATTATTGCCAGATTAGACATCCTAAAATGTAATGTCTAATCAGATCAAAAGCCATTTATAACAATAAAAACTACATTAAAAAAATTACTATGTCCTGGGTTTAGATGTGGTCTCTGCAATCAGTTGTTCATTTAACAAATTATTTTAAAAATACATACATACGCACACATGAATTCTGAATTGTGATATTTGCCAAAATAAGAAATATAGGGTGATGGGAGAGGGAGAGCTTAATGAGGATCAAATATAGATTGGGAGGAGGGTGATGAGGAAAGGCTCTTTTGAAAAAGTGAGATTTAAACTATCTGAAGAAGCTGTGCTTAGTTTAGAAAGGTGCTGGGCAAAGAGTATTCCAGGAAGAAGGAATAGCATGTGTGAAGGCTTTGCTCTGCTGCTGAAATTGTGATTGAGCTTATTGAGTATGGCCAGAGTGAGTAGTGCCCGATGAGGCAGGATGTAGGCTAGGATGAGGTCGTTTCAGATCTTGCACTCTATACCAAGAAGTTTAGGTTTTATTCTGAGTGACTGGGGAGACATTAAAGGGTTTAAGCAAGGGGAGTGTTGTGAATCAGTGACGTGTTTTACAGATTCCACTCTGACTACAGAATGGATGAGAGCAGAATAGGAGTTAGGTCAAAAGAAGTGGGAAAACCAGTTAGGATGCCTTTGTAAGTAGTAGTAGGTCAGAGAGAACAGATGATAATTTTGACTAGAGTCATGACAGTAAACAAGGTGACACATGAAGTGATTATGTCATAAACTATTACCATTACCCTGTGAAGGAAGTATGAGCAGAATAAGATTTAGAATAAACTTATTCAAGCCTATCTAATAAATGGTACTGTGAGGAACTGAAACAATGGATGTTTCAGGACATTTGATCCTTGCCTCTAAAACAAAATCCAAACTCCGCTAAAGATTTTTCAGTCTCCTCTTACTATCTTTATCTCCTCCTAAACTCCTACTCACCTATGCTATAAGCATACCAAACTATTGGCAGTAAGTATCATGAACATATCCTCTACCTCGATGCCACTGATGATTGTTTACTATGGCTGAAATATTCTTGCTCCCACATACGCTTAACAAAATCCTACTCATTGTTTAGGATCCAGATCAAATACGAATGAAACCTTCCAAATTTGCCTCCAGATTGATATTGCACGTTTATCTTCTTTTAGCCATAGTAGTTTATATTACTATCACATTATAGTATATTATTCAATAAATGTCTGTAATTGATTATGTGCCAGGTACTATGTGTAGACAATATGGACATATCCACATATAAAAATAGACACAATTGCTACATTTGTGGAATCTACATTGTAACACAGACTTTGAACAAAATCTGGGCACAAATATGTAACTAAATATTAGTAAGAGGTATGAAGGAATAGTAAAGGGTGCCTGCAGGTTTCTGAAACCCTATTATGACCTTTGAGGTCAAAATTATTTTTATAATCCTACCAAGATATTATTTGCCTTTTCATTCTCATTCTTATGAGTATATAGTAGTGATAGGATGTATGGTATTGCAACAAATTGAATACAGAAGGCACGAGAATCCAGATGTCTTTTGTTAAGGCAGACATTAACTAAATTGGCAAAAAAAAATTTTTTTTTGAAGCCACTTTGGGGCTGCATGTGCGGTGGCTCACACCTGTAATCCCAGCACTTTGGGAGTCCGAGGTGGGCAGATCACTTGAGGTCAGAATTCAAGACCAGTCTGGCCAACTTGACGAAACCCCATCTCTACCAAAAATCCAAATATTAGCTGGGCATAGTGGCACACGCCTGTAATCCCTCCCTGTAATCAGGAGGCTGAGAGGCAGGAGAATTGCTTGAACCTGGGAGGCAGAGGTTAAAGTGAACCCAGCCAGCATGACAAGAGCAAGACTGTCTCTCAATCAATCAGTCAATCAGTGCCACTTTGCCTTCTCATTTTTCGTTGTTTTGGAAAATGTGGTTTGTTTTGTTTGTTTGTTTTATTCATTTAAAAATAGATCACTTTTGTTAATGAGTTTTTTGTTATTTTAAAATGAGTTTTAAACATTTCTTGGTTATAATTTTTAATGTAGTAAATACTGATAGCGATAAACTATGTAGATAAAAGCTTTCTAGGGTCCTCCATACTTTTTAAGTGTATGAAGGGGCCAAGTGTGGTGGCTAACACCTGTAATCCCAACACTCCGGGAGGCCAGTGCAGAAAGAGCCATCATAGCAAGACCCTATCTCTACAAAAAAATTTAAAAATTAGCCAGGCCTGATGGTGTGTGCTTGTAGGCTTGGTTACGTGGGAGGCTGAGGTGAGACGATCACTTGAGCCCCGGAGTTTGAGATTGTGTGAGCTGTGGTCATGCACTGCATTCCTGCCTGGGCTACAGAGTGAGATCCTATCTCAAAAAAAAAAAAAAAAAAAAAAAAAGGGGGGTGGACGCACGGGCGCGGGCACTAAGAGAGAGAGAGAGAGAGAGAGAGATCCTGAAACCAAAATGTTTGACAACCCTATAATGGGGATCTGATTTAAATTGGGGGCTTCTGGAAAAGTAAAAGATAATCTTATGCCTCTGTTAAATTCTTATGTTCTTCTAAAAATTAGGAGTGTGGTTTTCTCTGTATTTCCAAAACCTACAATTCTTTTTATAAAATGGGTGTGTTGCTTGAATCTAAATTTATTTAAATTTTTTTAATTTAAAAACGGAATGCTTCATGAATTTGCATGTCATCCTTATGCAGAGGCCATGCTAATCTTCTCTGTATTATTCTGATTTTAGTGTATGTGCTGCCAAAGCAAGCACCAAATTTTGTTATCAAAGTCTACTGTAGATGGCCATTCTTTCTTGGATTTGTGGTTTCATTGAAACCTTTGTTGGAAATACCACCTTATTCTGATTATTGTAGGAAATAGATCTAGATTCAATAAAGGATTGAATCAAAGGAATTTAATTCAAATTCCTCTTGGTATGAAGCTGGGATGATTACTTAACCTGCTAAACCTTACCATTATTCATCTGTAACATGGAATACATATTTTACCATGGTGTAATGATTTAATGAATGAATGTTTGTGACCTGATTAATAACAGAGACAATCCATAAATGATAATCCTTTTATATACACAGCACATACGTATTGGGGTTAGTTTCAGTTAGTGAGCAGAGAGGTCTGTGGATAAATCAGGATATAATAATCATCATTTAAGGACATATTCAACATTCAAACAGTTTATCAGAAGGGAGAAAGCCAGAATGATCTATTGTATGATTATTCATCTTTAGAAAAAGGAACAGAAAATATGGGCTTAGAATATTTTAAAGAAGTAGCTCTATGTTGCAATGTAGATGTTTTAAGGATGGGGTAGAATTTTATGTGTCTGGTACAGGAACAGTGCCTCACATTTTACTAAATGTTTGAATAATATTAATTAGAGATTCTTAAAAACACATTTTTAGAAGCCTTGAAAAAGATGTATACTACAGATTAAAGGCCAAGCCCAAGAAAGCTTACATTGCTAACTGGAAAAATAAATAACGGTACCATAGAAGAAAAAGAAAATTGCCCTATGGGGAGAACATATCGTGTCATATGGTGTGACTAAATGGGATCCAGTAAGTTAAGACATGGTAGAGCATCTTCAGAATGATTCCATGTTCCAAGGTTAAAATGTTAACTATATTAAAGGTAGTAAACCAGTGAAAGAATCCTTAAGATCCTAGTGCAGAATGTTTGACAAGAGATAAGATCAGCTGACTGCTGTGGTATTCATAGCAGAAAGCCATAGGAAAATTATCCTTTTGATATTCTTCCTTGAAGAAGATAGGTCCTTTTTTTTTTTTTTCCTTTTTTGAGGTGAAGTTTCCCTCTTGTCCAGGCTGGAGAGCAGTGGTGCAATCTTGGCTCACTGCAACCTCTGCCTCCCGGGTTCAAGTGATTCTCCTGCCTCAGCCTTGAGGCACCCGCCCTGGCCTCCCAAAGTGCTGGGATTACAGGCATGAGCCACTGTGCTTGGCCGAAGATAAGTCCTTTTTTAAGATAGATAGTTAAGGCTGGGTGCTGTGGCTCATACCTGTAATCCCAGCACTTTGGAGGCCAAGATAGGTGGATCACCTAAAGTCAGGAGTTCAAGACCAGCCTGACCAATATGGTGAAACCCCATCTCTACTAAAAATACGAAAATTAGCTGGGCATGGTGGTGTGCGCCTATAATCCCACCTACTCTGGAGGCTGAAACAGGAGAATTCCTTGAACCTGGGAAGCAGAGGTTGCGGTGAGCTGAGATCACACCACTGCACTCCAGCCTGGGCGACAGAGCAAGACCCCATCTCAAAAAAAATAGATACTTTGAAAAAGAAATAATAGTTATTTCTCATTGAGATGAACTCAAAGTTGGCTAGAGCGACACACAGGTTTGGACCTATAACTTGCTTACATTTTAAATATTAGGTTGGTGCAAAAGTAATTGTGGTATTTGCTACACAATAGAAGTGATTGTAGACATTTTTTTCTTTGTACAACTGTAAAGCATTGCAGAAATTATATGTAGAATTATAAGCATACTTTTATTGTGTTTCATTTTACTGTACTTCACAGATAATTTTTTTTTTTTTTTTTTTTTTGAGACGGAGTTTCACTCATGTTACCCAGGCTGGAGTGCAATAGCGCAATCTCGGCTCACCACAACCTCCGCCTCCTGGGTTCAGGCAATTCTCCTGCCTCAGCCTCCTGAGTAGCTGGGATTACAGGCACGCACCACCATGCCCAGCTAATTTTTTGTATTTTTAATAGAGACGGGGTTTCACCATGTTGACCAGGATGGTCTCGATCTCTTGACCTCGTGATCCACCTGCCTCGGCCTCCCAAAATGCTGGGATTACAGGCTTGAGCCACCGCGCCTGGCCCGTTTTTTTTTTTTTAAACAAATTGAAGGTTGGTGGCAACCCTACATCAACAGTATATGCTCACTTTGTGTCTCTGTGTCACATTTTAGTAAATCTTGCAATATTTCAAACTTTGTCTGTTTTGGTGTTCTACGATTTTCCATGTTACTGTTGTAAAATTGTTTGGGGGTGCCACAAACCACACGCGTGTCAGGCAGCAACTTCATCAGTAAATGTTGTGTGTGTTCTCACTGCTCCACTGACTGGCTGTTCCCCCAACTCTTGTCTGGCCTCCCTATTCCCTGAGACACAGTAATATTGAAAGTAAGCCAATTAATAACCCTACAGTGGCCTCTAAGTATTCAGGTGAAACCAAGAGTCACATGTCTTTTGAAATCAAAAGCTGGAAATGTTGAAGCTTCGTGAAGAAGGCACGTCAAAAGCTATGCCTTTTGTGCCAGACAGCCAAATTGTGAATGCAAAGGCAGAGTATTTGAAGGAAATTATAAGTGCTACTCCAGTGAATACATGAATGATAAGAAAGCAAAACAGGCTGGACATGGTGGCCTATGCCTGTAATCCTAGCGCTTTAAGAGGCCAAGGTGGGAGGACCACTTGAGGCTAGGAGTCCAAGACCAGCCTGGCCATCATAGCGAGACTTCATCTCTATTAATTTAAAAAAAGTGAGGCTGGGCATGGTGGCTCATACCTGTAATATCAGCACTTTGGGAGGCTGAGGCAGGCAGATCACCTGAGATTGGGAGTTCAGGATCAGC